GGTCAATGGTAAGAGAGTTGTCTACCCAATGGCTCTCTACGCCAACTGTTATTGTAAATAGTAGTAGTATTACTACGCCAAAGAAGTCAGATAAAGCAGATCAGAATAGTGAATTGCAAGCCCTGAAAAAGCAAGTAAAAGAGCTACAGACTCAGTTGTCCACTATGGCAGTAAAGTCTGCTAATGAGTTGAAAGAACCCAAAACACAATCTATGGACACTTCAAGTAGCTCAGCTATACAAGCGAGAAGCTCGTCTTTTAAGGATACTGATCACTTATTTTGTTATCGTTGCGGTCAAGATGGGCATACTGCCACCAGATGTAGTGCTCCAGAGAGCTCTATGAAGTTGCTTCATGTCTTGCGAAGGCTTAAAGAAGAGAAAACATCCACACAGAGTAAGTCAACGAGAAACTGTTATGTGAAGAGGAGCACAGTGAAAACATTCCCAAGGGACCAGTAGGGCCATCATCTACCATATATATTAAGATTTGTGGACATCCTTGTGAAGCTCTGCTTGATAGTGGCTCACAAGTCACAATTATTTTCGAGAATTGGTACTCCCAACATCTGTCAGATGTACCAATCCATTGAGTTCATGGCTTGGCCATATGGGGACTGGGTGAGTCAAGCTACCCATACAAAGGATATGTTGTGGTAGACCTTGAGTTCCCCAAAGACTGAGGCATTTCAGGGTCTTTGTCCGTACTTGCCTTGGTATGTCCAGAACCTTGCAACTCAGACCAAGTTCCTGTTATCATTAGAACAAATGCCAACTTGTTCAAACGGCTAGCTGATCTCTGTCAGGTGATACCAGATACAATGTCTGTTCAATGTCTTAAGCTACAGCCCATAATTTCACAAGTTCTTCAACAGAAACAACTGTCCGTCCAGGAGGAAGTACAGACGTTCCTCTCGCTGATAGCCGAGGTGCGGATCCAGCGAGAACTTGATGGGGCAATGCGGAATTAAAACGTTTTTCAGGAGGTCATTCAGCTCTTGGCCGCACGGCAGTAGAGGTGGCGCAACTTTAACGACATGAGTATAATCCTGCCCACTCAAAAGCAGTACTAAACTGCAGTGGAAATGCAAACCGAGCCGAGTCGTACCATACAGTGGAAAAGCACCATATCTTGTGGTCCTCAGTAACTTCCATATAGAGAAAAAATACTGTCAGAATCATTGGGGACCAGAAACTGTTTGGTTACCCACATTCTTCAAAGTATCTTCTTTTATGTTCAACAGAAGAAAGAAATTAATTACAGGGTTGGAACAACTTGTGGGTGTGTAAACGATGACAAAATTTTTATCACTTTAAGTCAGACAGTCCACCATGAGCAACTGAAATGCTTCTCTGCAAACTTCGCTTTCATCATTAGTTACACAACAGACCCATTTATAACTTTCCCATTCAGCCCAACATCTGGAGAGCCTTGTGTTCAAATGGCAGATGTGAGTTTTAAATGTTTTTAAACCGTGCATGTTTACAGCGTGCTGCACTCGCATGAAAGGGCTGTTGTGTTCAGCATGTTACAGAGAGTTCTTGAAGTGCATGAGTTGCGTGCGTGAGACAGAGAGTTAACAAAGAAAAGAAGCATCCATTCAAGTTCCAGTGTAGAACTGAGTTTTTTAGCATTCAGTCAGTTTAAACACAACATTGGCGACGGGAATGGCTGAGTTTAGCTTTCTGCCTCCATCACCTTTTCTTCCCGTGCCTGGTGAACCGCCTATTCTGTGGGCGAGTTGGTTTGATGGTTTCACAGTATATCTCAAGACCATGGATTACACTGACATTTTAGACTGGAGAAAGATCGCCCTGCTTCGCCACTGTCTTGGGGAGAAGGGACAGAGAATATATCGTGCCCTGAGACATTCAGAAACTTATGAGGAAGCGGTCGCTCTCCTCGCTAACCACTTCACAGGCCAACAACGAGTACTGCTCTGCCGATACAAGTTACGCAAACGGCTGCAGCGTCCGGCTGAGTCCGTGCAAAACTATGTAACTAATCTGCGAGACATGGCACGCTCATGCAATTATGGGACTCCTCAAGATCAGATCGTTCGTGATCAGTTTATTGAAGGGATATTGTATGACAAGACTCGGGAGAAACTTGCTGGAACCCGACAAATTAACACTAGATAAAGCCGTGGCAATTGTGCTGTAAGTGGAGGCAGCCACTGAATGCTCCACGCTTCTCGCTGATGCGCGCCCCCTGGTGGATGCACCCACGCAGCAAATGCAATCTGTCTGTCTCACACACCACGGTCCATTTCCTTCAGATAAAATAGACACTGAAGAAGCATGTTTTCCAGTGCAGCTTATACAACCGCACGGAAGTCGTAGAAGTTTCTGCAGTAACTGTGGCTCTAGCTCACAGAACTCCAGGGCACAAAATTGTCCTGCACAGGGACAGACATGCAGGAATTGCGTTAAAAAATTGCTTTGCTAAAGTATGCCGATCAGCACCTGCTACACAAGCATCACATAAGCGACAACTGTCTGCCTCTAATGACTGCACTGAAATCAGACATGTATCAGCAGGCCAAACAGCTTTTAGGACATTAACTGTGCTTCTCGGCAAGGTGAGCCTTCCGCTGTTGATGGATACGGGTGCTGCGTCATCTCTGCTCAATGCCAGTACATACCACAAGTTATTTTCCCATCTGCCACTGCAGCAGCCCTGCACATCCCTCTGTGGTTACGACGGCTCTAAGATCACTATGCTGGGTGTTCTTCATGTTCCAGTCCACTATGGCTCCAAACACCTGCCATCATTTCCCTTCTATATTACTGAGCAGGGTGCCAACCTCCTGGGACTAGATCTTTTCACACGCTTAGAATTCACGCTGCGAGATGACAAGGGCTCAGACATCCACCATGTCACCACTACCTGGCAACAGAGATGGCCGGCACTGTTTGACGGACTCGGCTGCCCCACAGCTTTCACCCACAGGCCTCTGGTGGATTCAGAGGTGTCGCCGGTCATTCAGCCCCTGTGCAGGATTCCTCTCGCCTTGCGGGATGAAGTGACGGTGGAGCTCCAAATGATGCTGGCTATGGGAGTGATTGAACCAGTCAATGCTGTCCCCTGGATCTCTAACCTGGTCATTGCTAGGACAAAGTCTGGGGGAATATAGGTCTGTGTGGACTTGCGATCTGTCATTAAGGCCATTATTACCCTTTACCCATGGTGAGGAGCTGACCACCCACTTCTATGGGTCGACGGTCTTTACTAAGCTGGACCTGCACCAAGGTTACTTGCAGGTGCCACTACATCCTTCCAGCAGAAACCTCACAGCATTTGTCACACACACTGGGTTATATCAGTATACACGCATGCCGTTTGGCTTGAGCTCCGCCCCCAGCTGGTTTCAAAAGGTGATGACCACCGTCTTGGCTGGTATTCCTGGAGTTGCCGTTTTCTTAGATGACATAGTAGTTCATGCAGCAGATATCCAGACACATAATGACCATCTCAATAGGGTGGCTAGTGCTCTCATGGAGCATAATCTTACAGTGAATGCAGAGAAATGCATTCAAATGTTGTGTTCAGCATGTTACAGAGAGTTCTTGAAGTGCATGCGCGTGCGTGAGAGTTAATAAAGAAAAGAAGCATCCGTTCAAGCTCCCGTGTAGAACTTGAGGTTTTAGCATTCAGTCAGTTTACACAACAAGGGCTTTAACGGCGTGCATTATGGAGACTGTGGCTATGGAAACAAAGACGCCAAAATACAATCACGTGCAAATGAGCTTCTCTAATAATACTTACTATGAAATTGATTTCATTATAATTGCTATTAGTATTATAAACAATGCAAATACCTATTTGTTGATTCAGCTATGTGTTGGCCTTTGTAAAATACGGGACAAATCGCGTCTCTTATTGATTTGATACGGGACGCATCATTTTACCTTTAAATACGGGACGATTCCATATTTTAAGGGACAGGTGGCAAGCCTAATTTCCCCGTGAAATTGAGGTCTCTGCAAAGCAAAAGTGGGCGTTTCTGACTTTGTGGGTGTCTAAATCATGCAATGAAAATGATCCCCCTCACCTGACCACATCCCTAAACCTATCATCACTATGACGCCAGCCAATCAGGTAACATGGTCTAAAAATGCCCGAATCTGGTAACTCCCATTACGTGAAGTGGACCCTCGATCCCTCGATTTTGACCGAGGGAGCGAGTCTGCTTCAAATGCACACTTAAGGCCGCTCTATAGACCACGATGCAACAAGATTATGTTGTCATCGCAGATGCGTTTAACTTATCCCCACCCCGAACAACTCTATAATATATAAATATATATTTTTTACCATTTATGACAGCCCAAGCATGCCTATATACATATAGGAAATTGCACCAAACAAATGAATAAGGAAAAAACTGTAAATAACAAATTAACTTCATAGTGAATTCTAAGTGATCAAGGGCTTAGGACGTTCCAATTCAGCCCATTCCAAGGGTTCCGCCAGTAGTGGGCACTCATGGAACGTAATCAATGACACAGCCTTTGTTGGTTACTGACTCTGCTCTCACCCTGATTGTAATGCAAAATATAATTGGTTGGAGTGAGAGCATGCTACAATTGGTCAGCACTATGTGGCTGTTATCTGATTGGCTTAAGCAGATGGTGGGCAGAGTCTACCTATTTGTGGATTAGTGTGCATCTTGATGCTAGAAATGTTTTAAAATCCACAAATGTGTGCAGCAATGTAAAAATGCAATGAAAACCATCTACAATGTACAGGAAACCCACAAATGAATGCCAGGCAAAGTTGTGTTTGTGACATAAAACTTTTGTGGATACTTTGATGTTATTTAAAAAGATGATAGTTAAGATCAAATTTTGTGTGCACATGCAAATTATTTTAGGGCCACTTTTAGGGAAATTAATAGGAAAATATTTACGTTTCTACTTTATGGGTTCCTTTTACTTTGTTTTCTAATATATCATGTGCCTTTCACAAACTTAACCTCTGTTTATATAATTAAAAGTCTAAACTGAAAATGCAAATAGTTTTACCTTATCGCAGATATGCAGGGCAAATATTATTGTAATGAAGCCAGTAGATGGATATCTGCCATGTTTCAGAAGCCATTTCTCATACACGTATTTTATGAAAGCAGGGTGGAGGACCATCACCTAAACAGAAACAAAAACATTTATGAGACATACACCACTGCTTATTTTAAGGCTTAATAATCAGTCTTTTGAATTTCATTTACATTAATTTAATAACATGGATACTCACCTTGTTCTCGTCTGCTTTGATTGAAGATTTGACTCGTGTGTAGGTGCTGAGGAACAAAAAGGCTATCTAAAGAACTACTGTTGTAGAGGACATTTATCAGATTATTCTGTGTATTATTTTGTTCTTCTAGTACCTAATCACAACATCATGGAAATCTATGAGAGACCCATAATGGGATCCCAGAAGGTTTGCAGAGTTTCCCACCACAGCACAAGTTCTGCAGCGATCTGGACCGGCGTCTGAGTAGTGCTCTTTATCAGGGAAGAGAGAAAACATCTGATCCACCACCTTCGTGTAGTTGACTCTGAACATTGATGGCTGTAGCCCTGTACAAATATTTGAAAGCTCAAGATAAGCATCGCTCAAGATAAGCATCAATGAAAATGGTTTTGTTAAAACTGGTTTACATAATAGTGACATCGTGCGAAGACCATCAAGATAAGAAAGATTTGTATCTTCATTTTCACATTGAGAATTTCGACATGACTCTAGGGCGTTCCTCACATGATCGCATGACTAATTTTAGTAAGCTACTTCAGGATGTTATGTATTTTGGCACAGAACATATAAAATAAAATAAAATAAAAAATTGACCTATAAAAACTTTTTTAAGTACTTGTAACATATGATTTTGTTGTAGAATAAAATGTCTCTCTAAGTAATGTTAAAATGTTACTCATAAATTGCAAACTGTCATTGTAAAAGACCCATCTGAAATTCACAGGGGGCATTCTATGTCACAAAAATGATAATAAACAGTTTTTTCTTTTGTTTTATTCGAAAACGTATATGCATGTTATACCCCAATACAAACACATAATGTCACCGTTTATGGGTGGGGTCCCATGATCTACGGCACTGCTGGAAGCCTATATACTGTATATGCTGTAACCTATATACATTCATACACTGTATGTGTGTGTGTGTATATATATATATATATATATATATACAGACAATAAACTACTAGTTCTACATAGGCCTGCTTGACACTGAAGTCTTTGATTACTAAAGACAGAATATTTAGCATTTAATATTTAAAGACCTACCCTCGACCATCTGTAGGTGTCTCAACGTAACTCACAGTTTTTTCTGTTCAGCAGAGGTGGAATGCTGGGATCGTATCGGTAAATGAACCAGTCATCGTCCATAAAGCCCATGACGCAAGATTTACAGGAGCATGAAGCTTCAAAGATCGAGTCATCAAAGGAGTCTCCAGTATTATTCATCGGGTTTTGGGTGAACAAAAGAAAGATAGTCATGAAGCTCAAAAGCAGGGTGATGTAGCGAGGCGTCAGTCTATTGAAGATGTTCATCTTCTGCGTGTGTGGTGTTCCTGGTGGACAAATAAAATGTTATGAGAAAGACAGAAAAACGCGTCAGTTTTATGGTTATACTTTATAGTTTCTTATCTTCAAAAGACACAGTTCTGTGTTCTGAAGCCACCACCCCGCAAAAATATCGACATCATGTAGTAGGTTATAACTTGCCACCATTTCTGTCATTTCTGCTTGACTGTATGAGTTCTCAGATTTTAAACTCGATTTTCGATCCATAATTAAATTCAAAGCAATAGAAAAAATTCAATCTAACTTCGTAAATGTAAAAATTATGTGTCATTGTAATTGAACTAGTAAATTGTTGTTTTGGTGTGAAAAATAAATATTTTATAAATTTTTCGTCATGATTTAATAATTAATGCATCAGAGGGTTCTTTTATCACTTGTTTCAATTCGATTAAACATTGAAAACATAAAATGACGTTGAAATAAAAACAAAGAGATTTAAAACAGTGTTTTACCAAAAGAAGAGTTAATTTCAGTAAGGTTTAACACTAATTCTCAGACCGACTTGCTCAGTTTGTCAGAACTGTTGTTAAATTCGGTCTATTAGTAGCCCATATTACAAATGTTTCAGATGCCACACATTTCAGAGGCAAAAACATTAAGTTGATTTCACTGATCGAATTTAATTACAAATTGACTACTAATAATCAATTTAATAATTACCCCAGAATATCAAACTTACCCAAATGATAAGAATGTCAGGATAGGTTCCACATTTTGTCTCCTATAAGCCAGTATTTATTGAGGTCTATAAATCATCACAAGCAAGTAATTACTTTTACTAGACTTTATTTCTTGACATCTGAATCATCAAAGTATCTGAGTGCCGAAAGCTTCTGCCTCCTCAATGGAAAAACAACCTGAAAAATTTCATGTTTGTTGCTCAACTAGTGGTACCGGATTTACCTGTTCATACCTTCACGGACGATGCCAAAATGCTAATAGGAATAATACCAATAGGAAAAAAAAAAAAAATCCAACCAGTACTGTTGGTTCTTGGTATAAAGCATATTAAAAATGTAACCCAAAGAGATATTAGAGAAATGGTGCTGACAATAATTAATTAGGTCTTTGAATCTGCTTTTATAGGTGTCTATATAACTCTGCATAGTGAGTTCTGTAATGTAGCATCACACAGCACGGTGAGTGGGGGTGATGTAGCCTACCTGTCCAATAGCATCAACCTTTACAGGTTAGCACCATAGACTGTAAAAAAAGATGGACGACGCACCTTCAATCTCTTCCATTAATTTTGTTTCCAGTTTTTATTCACAACTCTATACTTCCACATTTAAGCCACAAATTTCTGATAGCTTTTTTGAGAGGGTTCAGGCATTCACACCCATTATAAGTGATGATAATATGTCTTCTTGTGAGATGTATTTGTCGTTGGAAGAGTTGGATGTTATTATTCATAAATCCCCCCTTAATAAAAGTCCAGGTCCAGATGGACTGCCTTTTGAATTCTACAGGACCTTTTGGCAAGACATAAAAGAGTTTCTTTTAGAAGTGTTCAGAGACTGTGTACGGAAAGGTGAATTGACTGAGTCCATGAAGCAGGGGCTAATTACTTTAATTCCAAAACCTAACAAAGATTCACTGTATTTAGATAATTGGCGCACGATTACTTTACTTAATTCAGATTATAAATTGTTAGCTTCACTTTATGCAAACAGACTGAAGCCATGTGTCAGGAAATAGGCTGGATTCAGGTACGGGTACAACAGAGGCTTTATTGAACAGAGAATTATCACAACGGGCAATGAGCGCCTCCGCGGACAGTTCGTGTGGACGTGGAATCCCCTACCACACAGATGGGTGGATAGCAGCGGCTGGAACAAGCCGCAACTGCGGCAGTAGAGACGAAGCCGGCAGGGTAGCTAGCTAATCTTGCCGCAGTACAGGCACAATCCCTGAGCTAAACGCTCCTGTTTCTGCTGCGGCGTAAGCCGGAGACGACCCAGTTGCATGGACTCAACATCAGCTAACTGTGGACTCGCCGCATCAGATGAAGCGGACTCCAGGTGGCGCCACGGAGTAGTGGACTGACGGCGTTGCCGGCGGCGGTTGAGACGGCCCTCTACACGGAGCGCGAGATTAATCAAATTGTCCAGCTCACGAGGAAGATCCACAGTCGCTAATTCGTCAGCAATGACATCATCCAGTCCCTCGAGAAATCGCGCGCATAGCGCGCCCTTGTTCCAGCCGCAAGCCGCCGCTAGAGTCTGAAACTGTATGGCATAGTCGGTGACTGAGCATCTCCTCTGAGACAACCGAGACAGCTGAGCTGCCGCCTCATCTCCCTGGGCTGACCGGTCGAACAGCTTCGCCATCTCCTGCCGAAAATCCGCAAAAGTAGCACAGCAGGGAGCCCGCGATCTCCATACGGCAATTCCCCATTCGCGGGCGCGACCCGAGAGGAGAGTGAGGACGTATGCCACCTTAGCCTCCTCTGTGGCGTAACGTCGAGGCTGCAGTGAAAACAGCAGCGAACACTGGGAGAGAAAGGCTTGGCAGGCATTAGGATCGCCATCATAAACTGGTGGATTGTTGGCATGAGGTTCGGGGTCCAGAGAAATACCAGCGCGGAGGACAGGACCCCGGTTAGCCGCCTCCCGCTGAAGATCATCGACGTGTGTGAGGAGCTCAGCGACTCGGGCATTTAGCGCGACCACCTCTTGCACTGTGGTGTTGAGCTGGGTTGCGTGCTGACCCAGCAAAACTCCCTGTTGCACGAGAGCAGAACGAAGCGGATCCAATCCCGCTGAATCCATCGTGGTCAGATTGTTCTGTCAGGAAATAGGCTGGACTCAGGTGCGGGTACAACAGAGGCTTTATTGAACAGAGAATTATCACAACGGGCAATGAGCGCCTCCGCGGACAGTTCGTGTGGACGTGGAATCCCCAACCACACAGATGGGTGGATAGCAGCGGCTGGAACAAGCCGCAACAGCGGCAGTGGAGACGAAGCCGGCAGGGCAGCTCGCTAATCCGAGCGAGAGGCTGAGCAACCCAACAACGAGACCGCAGAGTCCCAGGGTAGGTGGATGCCGAAGGGAGCCCACGGGTTTCTGAACACACAGAGAGATGCAGGAAAATATACAGGCAGCTACGAGCACTGGAGCCTGAACGAGACAAGACCGGACTGGTAAGCAATACTAACTATGACAGTCAGAGCAAGGGAATAATCACAACAATCTGACAAAAGGCAGAGAAACACGAGGAGCTATAAGGAGAAGCTAATGAGAAGACCAGAACCAGGTGTGAAACAAGGGGCGAGCAGATAACAAGGAGGGCGGGGAAACAATCATGCTGACAATGCGCACGTGGCGAGCTGTCAAAACAACCACGCACAAAGACAACAAGAAACAGGTGATCAGACCCGAGACCCGACAGAAAAGTCTAATCCAAGAAATTAATTTGGTGTCAAACCCAAATTTACCTAAAGCAAAGAACAGGTATTCCCACTCCACCCTATCGAACGCTTTCTCCGCATCCAATGAAACTACAACTTCAGGGGTAGTGGGAGATGGAGAGAAAATAATGTTAAGTAATCTTCTAGTATTAAAGAAAGAATGCCTCCCCAATGTAAAGCCCGTTTGATCCAATAAAATTATGGATGACATGGCATCTTGGAGGCGAAGAGAGAGAACTTTAGCTAAAATTTTACAATCTACGTTTAGCAGAGAAATCGGTCGGTAGTTACTGCAGGAGGTGGGATCCCTGTCTTTCTTTAAAAGCAAGGATATGGATGCCATATACAGAGTCGCCGGTAGTTGACCTTTTTGAAAAGAATCGTTATACATCCTCACCAAAATTGGGACTAGTAAATTAGAATATTCCTTATAAAATTCAACTGTAAACCCATCAGGGCCTGGGGATTTCCCATTCTGCATTAATCTAATGGCTTCTTGGACCTCCTGGGGTGAAATGGGGCTACCTAATTCCTTAGCAGTGTCTTCATCAATTCTAGGGTAATTTAATGAGTCTAAGGGGTTGGGGATCTTTGCTGAACCTGAAGAGTATTCAGAGGTATAAAGGTTAATATAGAAGTCTAAAAAAGCTTTGTTGATTTCAGCTGGGTCTGCAGTAAGATTGCC